AGGGGTGATGGAAGTTAATATATCCTATAGAGGTGGTAGAAGTTAATATATCCTATAGGGGTGATGGAAGTTAATATATCATATAGGGGTGATGGGAAGAGGCTTGGAGTTATAGGGGTGGTGGGGACTGGGGAGGAAGGTAATGCTGATACTTATTTTACTTATCATGCTTGAAACATACAACCTGACCTCTCAACTTTGCTACATGATTGCAGATGTCAAGATTCTGGCCTTGGCAGTTGTTCAGACATGGATGAATATTGTAAAGGGAGTGAGCAATGGCCCTAGCAGTGGTAAGTCTGTTATGTTTGTTGTTTGTTTGTTTCATGTCTGTGTTTGTTTCATGTCTGTGTATGTTTCATGTCTTTGTACCTGTTTACGTGTTGCAATTCATTGCGTGCTATTTAAACTCATACTCCTCTGGTGTTTGTATTTCAGCTGCTCCTGAAAAGAAGATAAGTGAATCTAAATCATCTAAGGACAAATCGAAGTCTCAAAGTGATAAAAAACTTGGTGAGCGACACAAGGGCTCCAGTAAATCGTCGACCAGTGATAAACATAGAACTAGTGATAAAAGCCGGACACATAATAGTGAGAAGCAAAAGGACAAATCGAAACCTAGCAGTAAGGGGAGCAGTGAAAAGAAGAAGGAAAAAACTTCGGAATTGGAAGACGTGAAACCCCTGCCTGAGCCCAAGGTCGAACCAAAGAAGCCTGTGAGAGATCGACCAAAAACAGTGAAGACCTTTCACGCCAGATTCCGTTCAACAGGTAAGGAGTTCCTGATTTATTTCAAATATGGATTAGGGTACATGTATGAGAAATAAAATTGCCTATTGTTCTTTCTTCTACTGGGTACCTCCGACAACAGTATATTTAGGTGAATTGTCACAGCCATGTGTCAATATGGATGGATTTGCAGAACTAGATATATATATGCACATTAATTCCTATTTGAACATGGTTTTAAAAGATGAACGACACTGGGGGGCAGCACTAGATGACAAGTAGAGCCGAGTTTGTTTTCCTACGTGCTTTTTCCTGGATGTGTAGTCTGACTTCTTATTGGCTGTTATTAACCTAATTTAAATAAATATAGAAGTAAAAATTCTGTAATAGACTGATTTAAAACGTAATTACTTGATTGCCACAATTAATTGACATGTAGTTAATTGTTAATAGGCAGCGATTAACAACGTTCCTAATAGATGCAGTAATAGTTTGGACATCCAAAATAGTGTTTGCGACTTTCTGCTTCCTTTAAAATAAAATAGAAAGCCACGTATCAGTGACGTTAAAAATAATATGGACACAGCATAACAAAATATGCTAAATGAACATATTTTTTGTACGACAAATACCACCATTTAGACTGGCAATTTACAATTTTGATAGCTAGTTGTAAATCTTTAAAATCATTATCCCTCAAGGGAATTTAAAAACATAAACATATATAGACTAATACCATGTAGAATGTGCAACTAGTAGAGGACATATTGCTGATTACTCAAGTATAAAAATTACCATGTGTTTGTGCTGTTATGGTATGTAAAATAGCAAATAACGCAGCCACATTCTTTAAAATGCCGCAACAATTGCCTTGTAATTGAATTGTGCCACCAGATAAAGTGCATTTCATTGAGGGATGTAATTAATTCCAGACTTGTACAATTTCTCTATTAGCAAGTTACCATTTACGTAGGTTTCGTGAGAGACAACGGCATCATCATGTAAAAGTAACTTTACTACTGTTCTGATAATTCTTCTCAAGTACTCTTCAGGGAAAAAATATAATTTATTTTTCGAGGGCTACTTTTCAAGCTCGCGTGCATGAAAATAGCACACTAAAATTTGGTTTGCATTGAACTCTATGCAAATTTCCGGGGGCTCTTTTTGGCATTACCGGGGCTCTTTTTGGCATTTCAGAGGGCTAAATCGCCCCGAGCCCCCGTGTATTTTTTCCACACGCACTGGTACTCTTATGCAAGCAATAACCGAGAGGTAATGAAATGGTCTGTGAAAGTACAAGAATGGTTGGGAAGACTGTTCAAAATCCTCACTTCAATATCACTGTCTAGAAGTTCTGATTATAATTTGCACTCGGCAATACATATCATAGTATAGGTCATATATACAAGGTGACACAGCTTCACAAGAACGGCAAATTCCACTGGTCCGAGGTTGTCACATCCCAGCGTAACAAAATTAACGAGAGACTCGCTCCACCACAGAAGATGCCTTTTGAAACCCTTGATTTGCCCCGTGCCCTGTAGGGTGTGGCCTGTGGTCTTCGCCTACATGGTAAACAGAACCAGCAACAGTTTTTTTATGGTACTGAAAGTTAATTAACTTAAAACCTGATTAGTCGACTTGGAAAGTTAATTTGCTTCCCCGGCCAGATATATTTATGGTTGAGTTTCTGATACCATTTTCGAGAGAAAACTTGTTTTCCATTATTGCGGATGATGTGCTTTCCCATAATCCCACAGATCATCAGATATATACCAAAAAATAACCATATCATTTCGTAATAGTTGAAATATAATCACCACGTATCACACACATCACAATATTATATATATTATTGGTTGTTATATATATGAATGTTATATAGCCCTGCTATGCCCGGGTAAAAAAAAATCTGATGCCCATATCATGTAATTAAACAACTTTTTAACATTGCTCTTTATTTGTTACTCTACTGCGCACAAAGATTGAGTCCTGATTAGTCTATTTGGAAAGTTAATTTGCCGCCCTGCCGAGATATATTCGTGGTTGAGTTTTTAATACCATTTGCGAGAGAAAACCTGTATGTTCATGTTATATGTATAATAATATATATCAGGGGGTCTTATACTATAGTTTTTACAGAAGAGGCACAGTGGCGCACCGCCGTTGTCAAATTTAACATCGCCATTGTGAAATTGTTCCTATATCTATATACCTATAAGTATATCAATACATCTTGTATTTGAATCCATCATATATGCATTTTTCCCCAAACTGGTCATTACCTCCTTTGTGTAATTTCCCCTCAGAAGAAACCCGCTATATATATATATATATATATATATATATATATATATATTATGTGTGGGCGTGTGTGCGTGCGTGCGTGCGTGCGTGTGTGTGCGTGTGTGTGTGCGTGCGTGCGTGCACACGTGTGTCTAGGTGTGTGTCTGTCACTTAATTGAGAAATTCCCAATTTGAACACAAATTGAAGTTGACCACAGTAAAACACGAATGGCTTTCATTAGAAGATCTTATCTGCATAGAAGGCTAATTTATTGTAATAGTTGGCCCCTGTTGACAACTTTGTTGAAGAGATTGAATCAGTTTGTTTAGACATCCATGGATTTTTTTTTATTGTGTTCAAAAACATCTGTGAGTGTGGTTTGCTGCAAAGCTATAACACCTTACTGGTTCGACTCGGTTTGGATAGGCTGTATCTAATTCAGAGATGCCAACCACTACGATTTATCCGTATTCTATACGAATTTCTATTCCTTTTGCACCACTACGACCAGTTTGCATCAAACTACGAATTTCACTGTGATCGGAAAAAATTATTTTTTGTCAATTATTGTCATTTT